TCCTTCCATTGATAATGATGGTTGTGGACTAGAGTTTCTTAGCTGGAACACCACAGGGAATAGTCCTTCTTTTTTCTGCCTAAACTCTTTGGCCTCTGGGTCCAACCCAGCATGCAGATAAAGCACTTGGCAAGAACTGAACATAAAAGTGAATCTTACTTGGGGAAAGCCTGGTAAAAGTCAAAAGGCCTCAAACCAAAATGACCCTTTAGTTTGCTAGAAAGAAAAAAATGGAAGAGGCTGTTCTAAAACATACTCTGAATGAGTAGGCAGTTGCAGAGGAAAAGTGTCTGAAGGAACCTCTTTGTCTAAGTAAAAGCCCGTCCACAAGGCCGCTGTCTGCCAGTGAGCCACACTGACCAACTGGAAAAAATCAGCAGGCTGCCTCCAGTCGAACACTGTGGACAGTGAAAGAACAAATACCTTAACAAATGTGGTACAACGAGGTCAAAGCCTTTCTTTTAGATAAACAGGTATAACAAAATTTTTTTTCTTTTAGATAAACAGGTATAACAAAAAAATTAAAAAAGGAACAATGACAATAAGGCATTAAAACCAAAAGTATCATGTATTACAGATAAAATGAGTAAGAATGGTTATTTATTTAATATGGAAAAGGTCAGAGGTGGAAAGTAACTGAGTACATTTACTCAAGTACTGTAATTAAGTACAGTTTTGAGGTATTTGTACATTACTTGAGTATTTTTCTGCTACTTCATTTTTCAACTACATTTCAGAGAAAAATATTGTACTTTGTAAGCACTACATTTATTTAACAACTTTAGTTACTAGTTACTTTTCTGAATGATATAATGCAGGTACTGTAATTAAGTACAGTTTTGAGGTATTTGTACATTACTTGAGTATTTTTCTGCTACTTCATTTTTCAACTACATTTCAGAGAAAAATATTGTACTTTGTAAGCACTACATTTATTTAACAACTTTAGTTACTAGTTACTTTTCTGAATGATATAATGCAGCAAAATACAGTATAATTATAAGACTTTATTGATCCTTGGGGCAAAGGTCACAAGCATTTGTACTTTGTAAGCACTACATTTATTTAACAACTTTAGTTACTAGTTACTTTTCTGAATGATATAATGAAACAAAATACAGTATAATTATAAGACTTTATTGATCCTTGGGGCAAAGGTCACAGGCATCCTAGCAGTATGTAAAGTACTTCAAATTATAAACATATAAGGTAGTTAACAATAGCTCCATTTTTACCAGCTGCAACACTGAACATGATGTGCACAATAACACATTATTAGTAATTATGATGCAATAATATTATATATGTGCATAACCTGTACCACTCTGCATAATGGTTGCTTTTATTTTTGGTACTTTAAATATATTTTATGCTCATATTTTTGCAGTTTTACTTAAGTAACATTTTGAGTGCAGGACTTTTACTTGTCACAGAGTATTTTTATACTGTGATATTGCTACTTATAACTAGGTAAACGATCTGAGTACTTCTTCCACCACCGGTAAAGGTCAAACCAGATTGGGCTTTACTGATACTGTGTCAAACAGTCTATTAGCCAGTCTCATCATTGTATGGCGTTTCAGTTAGGCTATTACATTTCAAAGCACAGTCACACTGGTCACATGATCTACTTCTGTGATATATGATCTTAATTTAACACAATATAATACCAAAATTACATATGCCACTTGAGGTCTCTTTCCTCTTGTATTATTCAAAGTTGGCAGTGTAGTCCACACATATGAGAGTTTATTTGTTTTGGAGATAACAGTAACAGGTGGGTAGAAAATCTACTCTTGATTATTCTCACTTCGTTCTGTTTGTTTTTCAGACTGTTTTATACCACTGCCATCTGCTACCAGAAATAACACCACTCCAGCTCCACAGACTCTTTGACACACTGCTTTGGTACATCTATGCTGGATGTTCTTGTGTAAAGAGTTTTCTAGCCTTTATTCGCATTGGATGTGTAAGTTTGTGTACAAGCTCAAGAAACAAAAAAGTATTTACTGCTTCTGGAATAAAGAAATGCAGTTTTCTTTAGATATGCTGACTCAGGACCGCTTGTTCTCACTGGGATTATGCATATCGGTGAATACCAAGCCAGTGTCGACCCAGTAAATGTGTCATCACAACCAAAGCTGCTGCACTATATTTCATAATACTTTATACACTATACCCCATCTTGTTGGGTGCAGGAAACAAATGGCAGATTTTCTTTATCTGCAGGATGATATTACTTGCGTATAAAAAGAGGAAGCTATGGGACAGGCTTACACAATCACTTGCTTGATGAAATAATTCAAGAAATGAAGAAAATAATGCAGGAAAGCAAGGAGATTTCAAAAACACATCAATGGGAGGTTGATGTACAAGACTTGTAGCAGGTGGCATGTGTATTATTTTTTCAATGTGACTCTCTCTCTGTGGTTCGTCCAAAGCCAGCGCCACTCAGGAGGTGCTGCATCCAGCAGCGTGTATGCCTGCAGGCTGCAGTATTGCCTTTGTTAGCTAAAAAAACTGTCCTTCAAAATCTAAAAGTAAGATTTTATTTTTTTTTTTACACAGTGTAAAAGGTTTACACTTCCTCCCTCCCTGTGGGGCAATGGGGGAATACTGTAAAGGGTGAAGGACTCATATTGTGCTAACAATGGCATGTTCATTAATTTATGTTGCTCAGTTCCTCCACAACATTCCTGTAAATCACAGTATTCTTTGATTGTTGGCACCATTAAAAATCCGAAGGCCTGACTGAAAACACAATAATAAATCAAAAAACACCATTTCTGTTTCACTTCATCTTGCCTTGATGTTACTTAGTTTCCCTTTGACTGCCCACACTAACCACTTGCATGCACTCATGACTTGAATAAAAACATCCACTAAATGAGATAATATTTGACTAGAAGTCCTGCAGTCTGTCTCCTGTGTGTACGGGGACAGCATCAAATCAGGTATGATTTAATAACAGACAACTGAAACTGATATTGATCGACTTGTTCCATTACCCATACTGCATCTGCAGAGGTTGCCAGTAGATACACTAAGATGGCTTCCCATGGTAGCTTATCGTCTTATAAATCCATTTACTGATTGAGATTTTGATTGTGCTGGCTCGGGTTCCATTTGCCCTCTAGTTAAATAGGTAGTGATACCAGATAAGAGTTATTAATATGTATGGACCTCTGATCTTACAGAGTGGAGGGAAGACCACATCAAATTTGGTTAAGATTAAATACATTTTTAACATGTTTTATTGCCTGAGGTTTTGATTTAAGATATGTCTTGACCTGTTTTGAGAGCTTAGCTTGGGTTTTCCATGTATTTTGAGGCTGTGAAAGATTGATTTGCATCTTAAATTCCTTTGAATACTAAAGTAAAATATTTGCATGTGGTTTATTTTATGGAATTATTAAAATGCCTTCTTAAATTATACAGGTAAAACTGTCCAAGGGCTTAGTGTGAATATATCTGAAATCCTACTTTAATGGAGCCTTTTACCTTTGTATTGTTGTTACTTTTACCTAAGTAAAGTACTGCATATCATTACTACTTACACCAGTGGTAACAGATTGAGTCAGAGTGAGTCTAACTGAATAGGCTGAATCAAAGTGTGACTAATTGATGACTCCAAGCTATCCTGTAGAGTTTTGAATAATTTGTGGTGCTGCAGAGCATTATTTTGAGGAGCTAGCTCCTAGCCTCCTTGGGCATCCAGTTTATGTGTTTATGAGCACCACATACAGAGGAAAATGCTGTAGACAGCCAAAGTCATGTCGTCACATCCGCTTAGCCTCTGTTCCATTAGCTTCAGTAACTCTTTTTTAGCATTTTTTCATTAGTAATTTTAAGAAAACTAAGCATGTTTGTCTGTTTTATTCACATTCTAAGACAAACCACCAATCACTACAAGACTTACTGCTGAAAGTTGCAACCTTTGTGCTTTTAACAAGGTTAACTAACAATTTATTTTTTAGTTTATATTTTAGTTAAATAAATTGTGTCCTTTTAAGAGTTGTAACTCTTGACTTTAGCTTAGAAGTTTTAGAAGTTGCTATTGTATTAACTGACACTGCAGTGAGTTTAGTGGAGTAGTTGATTTTGGATTAAAAGATAACGTGAGGTTACTGTGTCATGTTAAAGTTCAGTTTTCATAAAGGTGAGAAGTTGATTTTGTTTATTAACTCCATAATTAGGTGATACTGAGAAAAATATCTTAAAAAGCTGAGTTCTTGAATTTAGTAGTATGCAGGTGACACTGGGTATGTACTGTAAGTGCAAATGTTTCTCTTGATTCGTGATCATATGATGTGTCCTTTATACAGAGAAAAGTTATTGTTGTTTAGAAGTATTCGTGCCAAAATGTGTCAACACACTGTATTTGTCAGTTCATTGCAAAAAAAAAAAAAAAGATAAGACAAGAGGTGATTTTGTGTGTGTGTGTTTTGACTGGAGTGCTGCCTTTCTTACTGACGTTGTCTTGGAGAATAGGCTATAGAAGTAAGATTACAGTGCCACTTTAACTTGCAGTGTTTTTGAGTTCATCTGATTAGTTTATTTCGTTCAGTTATCCTAATTGTTTAAATAAGAACTAGCCTACCGAGTGTGTGCCACTTTAAGATTCAGTGCTCTTTATTTTAGCTTGGTAGTTGATTGAGTTCAGTATTAACGGTGTAAATAAGTGAGATCACAGTGTGTGTCACTTTAAGAGTCAGTCTTCGGGTGGCTTCTTGATATTAATAGAGCTGCTGTGTCTTCCTCCTCTGACGTAATGCCCACAGCCCACAGAGACAAGCAGAGAGGTCCTGTCACAGCAAAGCGATAACACCAGTGTGAAAAAAGAGAAGATACCGAGCTGCTCTGCTTTGGTTTGCTGTGGCCAGCAAATCCGAGCTCTGGGCGGCTGAATAACACACTATAACGTCGGACTATTGCCAAACTCACCCATTAATCAGTCGGTGTTAGT